TGTAGAAAATATTGACTTTTTAGACGCAGTCCACAGTCACAGCTCTACCAATTGGGCTGTTATAACTTCCACTCGACCATCTCAGCAACTGTGTGCAAGTTAGGGTTGTACCGATAGTTGTGCTACCAACTCTGGAAGAAAAAAATTCGCTTCGCTGAAAAGTTCCTCATGAATTGAAATTTTCAAACCTGTATCCATTGGGACAGCCACTGAGGGTGTATTGTTTGCACCAGCTTGTTGCATCATAGGCTAACGTGGTGGTGACTCCAGATCCGGCGCGTACGTCATTACAAGAGGTGCATGCTGAGTAGTTAGAAGATGATAAAATGATCACGAAAAATCGAGGCAGCTAGTTAATCCAAAATTTGACGAGTTTTTGTGTAGGCAAGGTTAAACGAGGCTTGCGACGGTCTTAAAAAGGAGGGGGGAAAGGGTGGAGGAGGCCCTAAATTGGAGAAGTAGAGGCTCAACATTTTTATTTCACTATCCTCTCATTTCATTTCGTTAAGTTTATTTCTGCAGTTTTTGAGAGATGCAGACTCAAACAAAATTCATTCAGATGTAATTTGTGACCGAAAGTAGGACTAGGAAGGAGGGGAAGAAGGAGAGGGTTCGCCACATGATTTAGTAAGAAAGAGTAAGAGCAAAAAATTACCAAAGTCATAGCAAGCCTGCTCTTGTACGGTGGTCTCAACACCATTGATGGTCGCCTTCCATTGACCATCGACACAAGTCATTTCAGTTCGAAGACCAGCAGGAGGTTCAAGTGTAACGACGCCTTCGGAAGTCACAAGTCTTAAAAATATCAAAAATTTGGAGTTCTTGTAAGCAATCACGATGTGCGAAAACCATTTTGGAACAGATATGCATTTTTCTTCTGAATGTTAAACCACCTATACAGGCTCTAATGCCTATGTTATATCTATCCAAAAATGTCCTCTAAAGCATGGTAGCTCTTTCAAATTCTTGCCATTCAGTCCAGTCAATCGGATTACTGCTTCTTCTTCTTCCGCACGACACTTGCCGGGACCATTGCGGACCGACTCATAAAACTCTATGATTTGAGCAACACACATGTGCTCTTACGGCGTCACCGTGATATTTGATTTCCAGAGAACATTTACATCTCCAACCTCACTTTCTTGTCTCGAGCCTTCTGCTGAAATTTGCTGCCAAATAGTGCATCTGGACAGAAAGTATGGCCCGTAGTAAACTTCCCGTCAGGTGAGATGATCTGACCTGACGGGGCTAGTCTAAGTTCACCGAGTTCACATGATCCCGATCCCTCCGCCATAGTATAAGGATACAAAGTCCGCGGACGGATCACG